GAGACTAAAGTCCTCAGGGAGACTTCAGGTGGGCTCTTATCACTTTGCCCCCCCCAGCTGATGCAGGGTTACTTACCGCAGGGCTGCTATTTTGGCAGTTTAAAACCAAAACGCGTCCAGAGGGCGTTAACAGTCCGCAATGAATYGATTCTTTATTTATTTATTTCTTTTTAGGCAAGTGTGCAAAGAGTTCACGGACCTGCTCTCCCAGGACCGCTCGCCTCTGGGGAACTCGCGGCCGCAGCCCATCCTGGAGCCGGGAATCCAAAGCTGTTTGACCCACTTCAGCCTCATCTCGCACGGCTTCGGGACCCCGGCGCTGTGCGCGGCCGTCACGGCCCTGCAGAACTATCTGACCGAGGCGATCAAAGCCATGGACAAAATGTACCTCAACAACAACCCCAACAGTCACTCAGACAGCGGCAGTAAAGGCGGGGACAAAGACGAGAAGCACAGAAAGTGATGATTTTTTTTTGTTGTTGTTTGTTTTTGTTTTTTTTCCCCTCATCTCACCTTCACCTGCAGGGCCACGGTTTTTAGGGCCTTTCTTCAACCCACAGCGCCTCACTTCGCCTCCCATCCACTATAAATATTATAAATATCTTATAAATATTACCGATAAAGTTCCTGATTTTGCATCCTTTTTTTTTTGGGATTCGAGAGGAAATCTTCCTGAAGCATTGAAAAAAAAAGAAATAAAAAGAAAAAAGCTGCAGAGGAGCAGCTCAGGGTGAGGGGAAGGTGCACTGCCTCACCTGGAAGACTCTTTATCCCCCCTCCTCCACTCCCCCTGTTTTTATTTTTATTTTTTATTTTTTATGAKCTGCACCGAATGGACTGAAACCCTTCTCTCTCTATATATATAAAGATTTCCGATTGTGACACATTGAAGCTAAAAGAGGATGCATTCTTATCAGTATTGTGAATAATAAACTTGAAAAAAAGAGGAAAAAAAAAACAGAAACTCCACAGATCTTCATGTCATGACTTCAGTTGTAGACTCCTGCTCTTTCTCTCCAACTTGAACTTTTTTTTTAAAATATGAAATTTCAACACGATTCGCGGTTATATAAGGGAATCGGTGTTCATGTATGTATATATTTATTTATGTGTAATTTAATGGGAATTGTAAATATGGTGCGTCTGTTGAAACTTCTCTTATTATTATTATTTTTTTTATTATTTATCTGGTGCCTCCTGTTTTAGTGGGTTTGAATATTCGGTTAGTTCTTCATGTGATTTTATGGTTCTAGAAAACAGAAGTTCTTTAGGGGGTTGTTTTTTTAATTTTTATTTTTTTATTTCTCTGGGATATAATTCAGCCCTCTTGTAGCATGTTTGAGGTGACACTGAAGCAAGTGAACAAATTTATTAGAAATAAAACTTCCATTTTTTCTCTCTTTCTCAATAGAAATCATCCTGATCAGTTTAAATTTGAAATCAGACCCCGACGGTTTTTTTTAATTTTCATTTTAGTGTCCATTTTATTTTTGTTTTTCTACAAGCTTTTATGTGTCGCGCCAATCAGATTCACCTCTTGTTCTCTCCTTGAAGCACCATAAAAGCAATAAATAGAATATTGTCTTTTTTTCCCTTCAGTGTTCGATGACATTAAAAGAAAATACTTTTTATTTGGAACCACCTGATATCTTGTCATGTCCGATAATGTCCAAAATTGGAGGCGGTTTTAGCTGTATTGTATAGACACGTGCTGGCAATAGTTCCTATGCCTGTCTATGTATTATAGTCCTTTGTTGCCCAGAAAAAAAAATAAATATTTGATACGCTTCATCATCTCGGTTTTCCTTTTTTTTTTTTTTAAATCAACTCCCGGATCCACCAACATTTCTATTTTTTAATTTTTGAATTCCCCCCCCCCCTCCACAGTGATTGAGTTTAAGCTTCCCCTGACGATTYCCTCCTGCAATAAGCAGCTGAACTCGTTGTTTCCCTTCAGTGCAAAATAAAAAATACATTCCAACCCGCTGGTTCAGAGCGCAGGATCTTTGCGGGCCAACAATAGATCTTTGCGCGTTTGAAGTGCGCAGCGCCACCCCTCCAGCTAAAAACCCCTCTGAGATGCGCACAGGCCTGGTGTGAGATGTTTAGCTGGCTATATTTGGCTCCCCCCACCCCACCACCTCCAACCCTCCCTCATTTTAGCCCGTTTGAGCTTTATTCAAAGACATCAAATATTTGTTGTGTTGTTCTGCCTCTCAGTGTAATCAATGCGCAATCAGCGCGCGCAGCTCGCAGAACAGGAACAGTTTCGTAACGGATCTCCTGCTTCAGCAGCTGGGGTGAGGCTGTGAATGTGGCCATCTTGTTCTTTCCAAATGGCTTCATTTTTGCGCACAGAGTTCTCTCTCTCTCTCTCTCTCTCTCTCTCTCTCTCTCTCTCTCTCTCTCTCTCTCTCTCTCTCTCT